GCTTCAGAACACTGAATTACTAGAGCTGTCAACACGAGGGACAAAGGAATCTGGAAGTGTGTTCACCATATTGCTACCAGAGTCTCAGTCCTGTATGGTTGACAAAGGTGGGACTGAGGCAGACATTATCTACATGTGGAAATATGTCTGCTTCATCTCCAGATAAAAAAAAATATTCATTAAATCTAGAACCTTGCTGTTGTTTGTCGAGGATAACAGTAAGTGGGTCAAGAATATGGAGGGATATATTGTACTGCGCTTAAGCCATTTAAGGTAAGTGGGGCCAAGAATATGGAGGGATATATTGTACTGATCCTAAGCCATTTAAGGTAAGTGGGGCCAAGAATATGGAGGGACATGTTGTACTGCTCCTAAGCCATTTAAGGTAAGTGGGGCCAAGAATATGGAGGGACATGTTGTACTGCTCCTAAGCCATTTAAGGTAAGTGGGGCCAAGAATATGGAGGGACATGTTGTACTGCTCCTAAGCCATTTAAGGTAAGTGGGGCCAAGAATATGGAGGGACATGTTGTACTGATCCTAAGCCATTTAAGGTAAGTGGGGCCAAGAATATGGAGGGACATGTTGTACTGCTCCTAAGCCATTTAAGGTAAGTGGGGCCAAGAATATGGAGGGACATGTTGTACTGCTCCTAAGCCATTTAAGGTAAGTGGGGCCAAGAATATGGAGGGACATGTTGTACTGATCCTAAGCCATTTAAGGTAAGTGGGGCCAAGAATATGGAGGGATATGTTGTACTGATCCTAAGCCATTTAAACAATTTCACTTTCACCCTTGTGGTGATGAGTTTTTCCCATCACTAAACCTGTACTGAAGCTTTTCACCGGCGTGTATTCCACGATCCGTGCATGTTTGGTAACCCAGCATCTGTACAACACCGGCAGCCCGCTGCACGAGCAGCACGTACACACACGCTCAACACATTCATGGCAAGAGTACGGGAATATATGGGAATGGTAATCCTATACTGTATGACAACGGTACGTCTACACAGTATGGCAACGGTACGGCCACACAGTATGACAACGGTATGGCCACACAGTATGACAACGGTACGGCCACACAGTATGACAACGGTACGTCCACACAGTATAACAACGGTACGGCCACACAGTATGACAACGGTACGGCCACACAGTATGACAACGGTACGTCCACACAGTATAACAAGGGAGCTTTTCCAGTGAGTACGGCTGATGAGTTACATGTCCAGTGAGTACGGCTGATGAGTTACATGTCCAGTGAGTACGGCTGATGAGTTACATGTCCAGTGAGTACGGCTGATGAGTTACATGTCCAGTGAGTACGGCTTGCCTCACCCTTGTTAACAAGTGACTAAAGATGTTATCGGGCCCTCAACAACACTGTCACTGGAGGCCCTCAACAACACTGTCACTGGAGGGCCACAACACCTCCAGTGACACCTCCAATGTTGGTGATAGTGTTGGTGGCGGGTGTTTCATACACACACCACCACACCAGCAGCAGCACACAGGAACACATACAAACACCGGAGGGTGACAGGTTGGGGCAACATTAAGAGCGCTGTGTTCTATAATAATTTAGCCAAGTAAAGAGTAATTTTTCCTAATTATACACTAACACATCGCACTAAGTGCCACCACCACCATTACTCTCAACTAAGGGTATACAACACTACCATCTCCATCAGCAACACCACTACCAACAACCACACAAGGAGCAACAACACCATCAGCAGCACGATAAACACCACCACCATCCACCACTACACGACCACACTACGTCCAACATCTGGAGGGAAATATATAAAGTGGATAAAGGAAGACTATTTATATTAACAACACCCACCACCAACACTATCACCAACACCCCACACACCACCACCAACACCCCACACACCACCACCAACACCCCACACACCACCACCAACACTATCACCAACACCCCACACACCACCACCAACACCCCACACACCACCACCAACACCCCACACACCACCACCAACACCCCACACACCACCACCAACACTATCACCAACACCCCACACACCACCACCAACACCCCACACACCACCACCAACACCCCACACACCACCACCAACACTATCACCAACACCCCACACACCACCACCAACACCCCACACACCACCACCAACACCCCACACACCACCACCAACACTATCACCAACACCCCACACACCACCACCAACACTATCACCAACACCCCACACACCACCACCAACAACAACAACAACCACCACCAACACTGTCACCAACACTCCACACACCACCACCAACAACACCCCACACACCACCACCAACACGATCACCAACACCCCACACACCACCACCAACAACCACCACCACCACTCCACCCACCACCACCACCACAGGTAAACAGTTGCAGCAGCTAATGGATAACCAACACAATGTGACTTGTCATTGTTAAACTCTAATAACACTAATTTCCATAAAATATAAAACAAACAGACAAAAATCTGGGGAAAATTGTTCTGTAGACACCTGCCATCAATGTCGAAGCTACCACCACTACTACTGCCCGGGCTACCACCACCACCACCACCACCACCACTGCCCGCGCTACCACCACCACCACTGCCCGCGCTACAAACACCACCACCACCACTGCCCGCGCTACCACCACCACCACCACCACTGCCCGCGCTACCACCACCACCACTGCCCGCGCTACCAACACTTCTAGTGCCCACAATACCACTACAATCACCTCCACTCACACCGTGGAAACCAACACCACTGCCCACACTACCACTATTGCCCCCCCACCACCAACATCACTGCCCACACTACCACTATCGCCCCCACCACCAACACCACTGCCCACACTACCACTATCGCCCCCACCACCACTGCCCACACTACCACTATCGCCCCACCACCAACATCACTGCCCACACTACCACTATCGCCCCCACCACCAACACTGCCCACACTACCACTATCGCCCCCAACACTGCCCACACTACCACTATCGCCCCCACCACCAACACCACTGCCCACACTACCACTATCGCCCCCATCACCAACACTGCCCACACTACCACTATCGCCCCCAACACTGCCCACACTACCACTATCGCCCCCAACACTGCCCACACTACCACTATCGCCCCCACCACCAACACTGCCCACACTACCACTATCGCCCCCACCACCAACACCACTGCCCACACTACCACTATCGCCCCCACCACCACCAACAATACCAAAGCCTCCACCAGCACGACTGACCCAGCGAGAGGTGAACAACGTCTGAAAGATGTTCAACGCCTGGAGGCTGAACACTCCTGAAACCTGACATCGTGACGTGTCCGCCTGCCTTGACCTCTCCACCTCTCTTTCTCACTGACGGCGGTTTTTACCGTGACTCACGTGGCGTTCCTGCCGCCCAGCACCCTCCCCGCGTCCTGCCGTGACCACCGCCCCCTTCAGTAATGCCAAGCCCCGCCCACCTCTCTCACACACACACACATCATCCTCTGCATCAGTCACCAAACTATATTATATACGGATATTATATATATATATATATATATATATATATATATATATATATATATATATATATATATATATATATATATATATATATATATATATATATATATATATGGCAGTCCCATAAGGCTCCCCCGAGTGATGCATATCATCTACTTCGAGGCCGAGTCACTACAAACACAACCAGAGGTGGTATCCCAAATATATATTTAAATTATATTGTATTAAAGCAGAAATGGAAAAAAAACATTTGTTAAGTTCATCAGGCAAGAAGTTACCAGTAGCCAAGAATTACCAGAGCAATAACGTGGAGGGTTGAGGTATTGTGTGATCATCAATGACAACAAGAGAGGCAACATAGTCGACATTCCCTACCAGTTCCATGACAGTTTCTTCTGCATGGAAAGCCTCACCGCCAAAGCGTTATTCAAGTCAATAACCAAGAGTTGAAACACGTTGTACTGTGTAAAAATGTTTTGTATGCACGTGTAATGTATTAACTCCACATGCATACATACGTATGCATGAATGCATGTGTGAGAATACATGTAAAGGTATGCATAGGTGTGTGTGTGTGTGGGGACATATGAGGGAATACATACGTCACCCCATCAATCTGTGATTTACTGCTTGGTTATGCAAATTAATTCAGGGATTGGATGTTTGGAGAGTCATCTGAGGCGTGGCCGCCATACCGGGGCCAAGTGTTTATGAACATGGGAACATGGAGTCAAAACATACCTCATGGCACTGTGTTTTGGCACCATGATGGTCACCACATTAACTCCACACAAACACACTCACCTTTACACTCCAGTAAAACACAGTGACCATTATACTCCAGTAAAACACAGTGACCATTATACTCCAGTAAAACACAGTGACCATTATACTCCAGTAAAACACAGTGACCATTATACTCCAGTAAAACACAGTGACCATTATACTCCAGTAAAACACACTGATCATTATACTCCAATAAAACAAAGACAAACAATATACTCTAATAAAACCAACTGACGACTGCAGCATACAAACAATGTACTTTAATCAAATATACAAACTGGCTACTGTAGCTTGTCGTAGTCAATAAATGTACTGTAGTCAATGACACACACACACACTAGGGTTATCAAAATAGCACAGGAGAGTGGGGCGTCGTACACCAGCCAGACTGTACCCGAGCAGCCAGCGGCCGTCCGGCAGCCAGCCCGGAGAAGCTCTCACACACCCAAGTCGACCTATAATAATCAGCAGGGAAGTCCGGTAAAGGGGGATGCGGGGGTCACGTAACCACGTGCGCCTGCAGGAGGCGTGGTCACGTGACCCCGTATGAATGTAGGAGGATAATGGTAGGGGTGAGGTGGGGGAAGGAAGGCGTGCTATGACACGGGAGAGTCAAGGCTGCCCCGTTTGGGGTGAGAGCAACACTATATAAAGACTGGGGCCGCCTCGCCGACACATCACACTCCACCATGAAGCTCCTGGTGAGTGCCTTCTCCTTCTTGTGTCTTGTGTTGTGGTGGTGGGAAGAAGCATTACACAAGATCCAGTGTTCTTGACAGGTTCGGGTGGGAAAGAGGTGGATGCCGCTACAGGTTACTGGGCGCTGACCCAAGGTGGGCTACAGACATTCACACCGGTGTGACTCAGCACGTCGTCTGGGGCAAAATGATGAGACAAACGTGGCACAATTAAGTTCCATTTAAGAGGCAGAGTACTGTGAGAAGAAGAATTTCAAGGTCTACTCTTATAGACCATACTTGCAGCCTAGCAAGATTGTTTCAGTCATGAAGACTGACTTTATTTTGTAAGATGTCACGGTCTATTTGTTGCAGTACATTGGAAATGTTTGTTTCTGATGCATACCAACCGCTGAGTACCAAAGGCTCAGGTACTAAAGTACAAACGGCTGAGGTTTGTGGTGAAAAACTGCTCTCTTCAAGTAACTCCGAGAATGACTAAAACGTTTACAGTGTTTTAACAACGTTAATGATCAAGAGGTTTTAGTGAGTTTTAGGCAAGAATGTTTGTTTAATAAGTTCACTATAGACCCAGCTTGTGTGAGGGAGGTTTAAACACATAATGGGTTAAGGTGCGGGACCCCATTAAGCTAAACAATTTACGTTTGTTCTGAACTAGTTACAAACTACTGTTTATCAAGTTTCAAGAGTAGAAGTCCACTTACAGTACAGTACAATATGTTACAGAATACGGTCATTTGGTAAGTAAGAAAATTGCTGGCAAGGTCCCGGTAGTACAGTCGGGTTCCTTTTCGACTCATAATCTGGAAATCCGAGTTCGAATCCCGGGCGGGACAGAAATGGTTGGGCGCGTTTACTATCACCTAATGTCTCTATTCACCTAGCGGTAAATAGGTACCGGGAGTTAGCTTGTTATGGGGGGTGCATCCTGGGGAAGGTCAGTAAGTCGACCTTCAGGCAGGAGGGAGTCCTCGTATAAGAACACTGGCTGCCTGTCCCCGAAATGAATTATTATTGTTAATATATATTAAATGAACGTGTGACGCTTGGTTAGAACATTGGATAACATCCCTTCCAGGATAAAAAAAATGGGCATTTCTTGAACATTAATAATTATCTAAATTATTGTTTTTTGTCCATTAAATTAGAGTGACGTTGGATATGGAAATATCCCGCGTCACTGTTTTGCTGACCAAGTTAGCATGTGAGCAGATCTTCAGCAGGTGGTGGAAATTCCCAGAGGTACTTGTAGCCTAGCAGTGTTTACGTGTAATTAACACTGATAATTAGGGATGAGTTGAGCAGTTGCCACACCACCAGCGGTCTTTATATCACTGAATCTGAATGGTAAAACCAATAACCTTAGGCAAACCTGCTGCCTATAGTTTAACGCCATCTGGTGAGCGACCTAAGCACCTCTTCACAAGTGACGTAAGTCTTTCTGGACAGAGGTGCCCTAGATATGGCGGTTACCATCACGCTCTCTTGGTTCACCCCCCTTCACTTTACAGTGCTTCTGCCTTTGTTCTCCGTTGATTGTTACAACCAGCAGCCGCTAGTCTTTGTGCATTCCATACTCTATGATCTATACTATAGTTTATTGCATACCCCACACTCATCCTGTGAGCTGTAGTTCGTTGTGCTCCCCAACACCCATCCTGTGAGCAGCACTTTATTGTGCACCCCCCATACTCATCATGTAAGCAGAAGCGCAAAATTATTACAGAAGGCACAAAAGGTTTTAATTAATGAGACCCCAATGAATGTTATTTGACATTAAAATTTATCTGTATACCTTAAATTTCATGATATTGATAGCTAGTAACAGCTGCTTGCACTTCAGTATATTATTATTTTATACAGTAGTGCCCTTTTCGTAATACTTAACATTATTTACAACCTTGGTATTACAAGGATTAGTGTTGCTGCTTATAATTTTAGGCTACACAGCTTATAATGTCAACAAAATACATTTTCCTTTGTTTATTAGAATGTAAATTTGGATTCAGTGCAAAAATTTCAGATATTTTACCAAGTGCAAGGGTGCGTGTTGCAGTCTCAACGACCCGGGCTGTCTACACTGTGCTCAAAAAACTAAATATATAACTTGGAATATCACATTACCAATTTCATTACCAACGGTATTAATCAGCCTTTACTTGGGCGTACAATGCCTATCTAATAAGCTACAGTACAAATATCACTGGAAGTGAATAACACAGATATACAAAAGGCACTCTAAAATAAGTATTAATACATGATGGATTCAACTCTCTGAGTTAGCGAGAATCTTATAAATAACATTTCAATTGTTTCAGATATTCGTCTCCCTGGTTTCGGCAGCCGCCGCCGAAAAACTCCCGGCCTACAGTATACAAAGGCCTTCTGGTCCAGGTTTCGATATACGAAGCTCAGGGATCTCTGGAGGTGGATTCGGTGGCGGCGCAGGGATCGGTGGTGGAAGCTTCGGTGGCGGCGCAGGGATCGGTGGTGGAAGCTTCGGTGGCGGCGCAGGATTCGGTGGTGGTGCAGGATTTGGAGGAGTCAGCTGTGGAGTTGGACAGATTCGTCACGTGGACGGAAGTTGTGTGACTCCTATTGTCACCAAAAACTCATACGTGTATGCTGCTCCACCAGTGGCCCCAATCGTCGGTCCACGCCCAAATGTTCCTCCACCAAGACTTGAACACAACATTATCTTCATCCGTACCCCAGAAGTTGGATTTGGTCAGGAACCCATTGTGGTGCCACCACCTCAACAGAAGAACGTCGTGTACGTCCTCAACAAGCGACCAGAACTGGACCAACAAGTCGTCCACGTCCCAGCACCAGAACAACAGACTCCTCAAGTATTCTTCGTCAACTACGCCGAGGGCGACAACCCGACTCTACCTACAGGAGAGGACCTCCAGTCTGCCCTCAGCGCTGCTGCGCACGGTGGCGGTCAGGTTATTGGAGGCGGCATTGGCGGAGGTATTGGTGGTGGCATCGGGGGCGATATTGGTGGCAGTATTGGCGGTGGTGTTGGAGGAGGTGTCGTGGGTGACAGCGGACTCGGAGGTGGCTACAGTGTGTCGACCCCATCTAGCCTATATTCCAAGCCATAAACAGCGTCTTCTCCCTCTGGCTACTGCCATCGTACTGCAGGACAAAACTCATCGGCTATATTTATTTTCCAGTTTTGCTAATCCTTTTACTCATTATTTAATATATTTATTTTAACCAAGAGATGGATTTATATTTAATATGACAAACTCAAATATTTCTTACTGTAAACAATAGCTAAAATAAATATAAACCTTATTATTAGTATTTGTTTAACTGTTTCCTGGAGCTTTATTGAAACGCATAAAGACGACTGAATTATTGAGGAATAACTCGAGACCTCACTTCTGCTTTTAATGGAGAGGAGACAAGAGGCTATCATTAGTGTGGTACCGGAACATACAAGTACAGGAACCCAGGTGACCTTTAGGATTAAAACATTCTGTTATTTTCCTTATTCCGTCTGGCACTGACCGACACAGGAAGAACATCAAAATTATATAACGTTGCACATTTTCAATACCTCGTAATTTATTTTACTTTGCAAGATTAAGATCATAAGTCTCTCGTTGCATTTTTTAACACTACTGCGTGAGGAAACAAGGCTATGTCACTGAATCAACGTCATGCAGTCATGTTAGTCTCCCATATTTCTTGAATAATGTACAAATATTGTCTGCCAAAGGAAAATATTTGTTACACGAAAGATGTTGAACTGCGAGATCGAGTCACCCACTGGATTATTCCATAGGAGCTCTTATCTAGAGGAGAATCAATGCTATATATATATATATATATATATATATATATATATATATATATATATGTGACTGAAAACTCACACCCCAGAAGTGACTCGAACCCATACTCCCAGGAGCAACGCAACTGGTAACTACAGGATGCCTTAATCCGCTTGACCATCACGACCGGACATAAGTCCTGGGGACCATTCAGGCTAGTTTGCATATATATATATATATATATATATATATATATATATATATATATATATATATATATATATATATATATATATATATATATATATATATTCACTGTTACATAGAACCACAGAGAACACAAAATATGGGAGTTTCACAGTGGGGTAATTTGCCTTTAATTCGAATTTGTGTTGCACACGTGTAGTTGTGTGCTGCTCAGTTATCTGGCGTCTATGGTCCTCAACACACGATTCTTAGCAAAGAAGCATTTAGCTAACCTACAATATAGTTGAGGGAATAATATAATTTAGGAACAGACGAGATCACTGAACTACGCTATATCCAACATCAATTGTTAACTTCCCTGACACCATCATACTATCTCTGTCTATAAGAATATAAGCAACCTAAAGTACTCGTCAAAAACCAACAACACTTAGCACCCCCAAAATATTCAGACCGAACCGGACAATCACGCTCGTCCCACCACACAGTCTAAGCAGCCCGTCCTCCAAACAAAGATCCAAAAGTGATTCCATGCACCCGCCAAACCCCCTGTTTATGATTGAAAATCGGTTTACACACGACTCACAACTGATTTCGTTCGAACACTTCCGGAACAAGTGCTTCACTGCCGCATTTTGTTCGAACCACAGCGCTGTAAATGCTTCACCCACGTACTAAATATACAAATAATCGCCAACAGAACCTAAACGTCTAAAATGACCTAACCAATGCCTATATATGCACAATATGCTAATATATTATAATATTAATTTATATTTGAGAAAATTCCCGTTTTGAATGAACTGCATTTAAAAGTTTATGAATGCGTCTATGGGGTCGACCGCTGGATATAATGGACTTGAGTCGAGGACGGGTTGGTCTAAGATGGTCATCTTTGTTATATATGGAACGAGCGCTCACTTAATATTCAAAATTCTCTGACACTTTCGACCTTTAGTTATTTAAACATAAACTGAAATGGAGCTCTATATCACAATACAACCAGAATGTTTAAATGAAACATTTTAGAAAAGCTATGTGGGAAAAACGTTGACACAACTATGTGCATATGAAGATTTGTCACTTTATTTACATAATCTTCTCAAACTCTAACATGAATCACTATACTTTATAAAATATACATTGCTTTGTATCACTGTAATGTTATTAATCAGTATTATAATAGCTTAAGATATTACCTTCTGGCACCTATTATTCTTAATTTTGTATTAAGAATGTCTAGATATTCCTCGCCCAATCTCTTAGTAAATAAATATTGTATCAGTCTGTATTTTATTATTGTAGCTTCGGATGTGATGCAATCAAATTGCATCTTATAAATATCATCACTTTGTCCACTTATATCACTATATAAAACAAAAAGTTTCCAGGTCCAAAAAAGGTGTTTTTGAAAGAATGCAGAGTGGAACAATGTGACCCACTAACAGGAATATTAAACAAATCGACTTGATAATGGTCCAGGACGGACCGAAACGTCGTCGGCTTTCATCTTCTATGATTTATATTGTATTTTAGTAAATAAAGATAAAAAAAAGTATGTGGTTTGGTCAACATTCTTCGGCCACGTTATTGTGACTCATTATCTGCACAAGAAGAGTTCCTAATGCCTGGAAGGTGGCCAACGTGGTCGCGATATTCAAAGAGAAAAGACACTTTGCTGTGACCCAAGCCGAATAGTCTGACTTCGATAGTAGGAAAGTTCGTTGTGATTATGATAGTGCATTTAGTGATAAAACACCTTGACACATAGGGGTCTAATAAAAAACACTCAAAGTAATTTTTACGAGTGATCTTGTCTCACAAATCTGCTCTCATTTTACACAAGTGTATTCAAGGCAGTCGACAGCAATATAAATTACGTTGCTGCCGGTGTTAAGCATAAGGCCTTGGACACTATCACCAGGAGGGACTAATTAGGAAGGTTGAAGAACAAGACATTAGAGGAAGTGTTCTTAAATGAACCAAGAGCCGGGTTGAGGAATAGAAAGCAGAGAGTTACCATCGACCGAAGTCAAATTTGAGAAATGTCCCAGTGATGTGTCTCGTGAGTCTGATTTGGGCCTTAGTTGTTCATTATATATGCAAACAACGTATATATATTGGGCTGAACAATAATAACAGCAAGTCTACGAATGCTCGATAATCTCTCACTCACAGGATGCATAGAGGTGCAACATACACCACTGATAGGATGAGTATGAGGTGCTCTACAAACTACTGTTCATATGAAGATTATGTGGTGAACGATAAACTATCTCTCACATGATAAGAAAAGTATGTACAATAAACAACTACTTACAGTACAACGTCAAAGGCTGTCTTACACCAAAACCGTCTAATAAACAGCGATGGCGGGTTATGTCATGTAGGAAGATAATGGCAGAGATGAGGTGGGGGAGGAAGGCGTGCTATGACACGGGAGAGTCAAGGCTGCCCCGTTCAGGTGAGAGGAACACTATATAAAGACTGGGGCCGCCTCGCCGACACATCACACTCCACCATGAAGCTCCTGGTGAGTGCCTTCTCCTTCCTGTGTTAGCGTCTTGTGTTGTGGTGGTACTGAGAAATATTATAAGAGCCCAGGTGTTCTTGACAAGTCCGGGCGGGAAAGAGGTGGTGATGATGTAGGTGAGAGGTGGAATGCCGCTCCAGGTTACTGGGCGCTGACGCAAGGTGGGCGTTGACCCAAGGTGGGCGCTGACGCAAGGTGGGCGTTGACCCATGGTGGGCGCTGACCCAAGGTGGGCGCTGACCCAAGGTGGTGGACGTAGACCCAGGGTGGTGGGCGCTGACCCAAGGTGGTGGGCGCTGATCCAAGGTGGTGAGCGCTGACCCAGGGTGGTGGGCGCTGACCCAGGGTGGTGGGCGCTGACCCAAGGTGGTGGGCGCTGATCCAAGGTGGTGGGCGCTGACCCAAGGTGGTGGGCGCTGACCCAAGGTGGTGGGCGCTGACCCAGGGGGTGGGCGCTGACCCAAGGTGGTGGGCGCTGACCCAGGGGGGTGGGCGCTGACCCAAGGTGGGCGACAACTATTCACACAGTCAAAATGATGAGACAAACTCAGCAAAGTAATGTTCCTATTAAGGGGCTAGGTACGAGGAAAAAAATATATTCGATGTGTACTCATACAGACTCGGGTTGTAGCCTAGCAAGAGGCACGACTGTTCAGTCTTACAGTACAATGACAATGTTTGGTCGTAAAAAACACACAAATTAACAACCGATGAGAAGTTTGATATCAAAATCCTGGCCCCCTTTAGTGCCACCGAGAATGACTGAACGGCGTCATGGCAACATTAGTAGTGACTATGAGGCTTTTGTGGCGTTTTATTTGTAATTATCAAGTTTTTCACAACACCGCCATGACATAAGTCTGTTTGAGGGGTGACAGAGAATAGGGAAAACGTAAGGCAACGTTGCCTTAATAGCTGGATCTGAATTGAAAATCTGCTAACTTGACCAGAAAAACATACCGGTCATAGCTATTTGAACATCTAGTGTGCATATATGGTCCTGCACAAGTGACGTCATAGCCTTTCCGGATTGAGGCGTCCTAGATGTGATAGTTAAGTGTTACCTACACGCTTATTCTACCCTCTTGAGGCTGACCCTTCACCTTACAGCACCTTTGTTCGTGTTTTCAGTTGCCAGCATGCCGGTAGTCGTTTTCTTTAAGAAATCAATGACTTAATACAAACAACACACACATAATACAACACTTAACATACATATAACACATTTATACTGCTCACTTAACAAATATACATATATGCAAGTTTCAGTACTTCATATACATTAGACTTTATAAACCTATATTATTACTTTGATCAAAGTGTATAAACCAGAAGGTGCAGACCTACACTTAATATTCAGTGAATATTTTCTGATAATATATATATTATACATGAAAGTTGGAAACTGAGAAGATTGAGTCTTTGATGATCCTGGCAGGTATTAGGACTTAAGAATAACACACAGTCTCTCTGTCTTCTTGGCTAAGATCAGATTGGGTTAGGTTCGGCGATAAGGATTATTAAGGTTTAATGACTGTCAGGAACATTAAGACCTCACTTCTTGGCTTCTAAACCTAAATATGAATATACAGATTACTAACAGAATTCAATCAGTGTATGTTAAGATACATTGAAAAGTGCTGCACTTTGTGTACATGCTTTGCTCTCAACTTCTTAATGACTTTAATGATTAGCGTTTTCTGACCAGAACTGAAATGGCGAATGGCTGCCAGTTGAGCCCTTCGCCGCCTTCCAACCAAATTAGTTACAGTGTCAATATTTTAATTCTGTTTCAGATTCTTGTCTCTTTGGTTGCGGCAGCCGCCGCCGAGAAACTGCCGACTTACAGTTTACCAAGACCTTCTGGTCCAGGTTTCATCATAGGTGGATCAGGAGGTGGAGGCTTCGGTGGAGGAAGCTTCGGTGGCGGCGCAGGGATCGGTGGAGGAAGCTTCGGTGGCGGCGCAGGGATCGGTGGAGGAAGCTTCGGTGGCGGCGCAGGGATCGGTGGAGGAAGCTTCGGTGGTGGAAGCTTCGGTGGCGGCGCAGGATTCGGTGGTGGTGCAGGATTTGGAGGAGTCAGCTGTGGAGTTGGACAGATTCGTCACGTGGACGGAAGTTGCGTGACTCCTATTGTCACCAAAAACTCATACGTGTATGCTGCTCCACCAGTGGCCCCAATCGTCGGTCCACGCCCAAATGTTCCCCTACCAAGACTTGAACACAACATTATCTTCATCCGTACCCCAGAAGTAGGATTTGGTCAGGAACCCATTGTGGTGCCACCACCTCAACAGAAGAACGTCGTGTACGTCCTCAACAAGCGACCAGAACTGGACCAACAAGTCGTCCACGTCCCAGCACCAGAACAACAGACTCCAGAAGTGTTCTTCGTCAACTACGGCGAGGGCGACAACCCGACTCTACCTACTGGAGAGGACCTCCAGTCTGCCCTCAGCGCTGCTTCGCACGGTGGCGGTCAGGTTATTGGAGGCGGCATTGGAGGTGGAATTGGTGGAGGCATTGGAGGTGGTATTGATGGTGGCATCATTGGTGGCGGCCATGGTGGTGGTTTTGGAGACGACTTCAGCGGTGGTGTTAGTGTGTCGACCCCATCTGGTCTATATTCCACACCATAAACAAAACAAATTAAACATGTTAACAGCGTCTTTTCACTCAGGCTCCGGCCCTCGTACTGCAGGACGGAACTCATCATCTTTATTTAAATTCTAAGTTTGCTAATCATTCAACGAATTATACATTATTTATTTTATCCAAGAGATGGCTATATTTTTTCTATGTCAAACTCAGATATCTCCTACTGTAAACAATGGCTAGGATAAATATAAACCTTATTTATATTCTTGTTTAAAAATTTCCTGGAGCTTTAACGAAACATAAAAAACAAGGTCTTCGACGTGACTTATTGAGGAATAACTTGAGACCTCGCTTCTGTTCTTAATTGTGAAGAGTGGAGACAAGAAGCCAGCACTAATGTGGTAACATCACACAAAGCCTGCACTAGTGGGGTACCATAACACAAAGCCAGGCATTGGTGGTGGCATCGGGGGCGATATTGGCGGTGGTGTTGGAGGAGGTGTCGTGGGTGACAGCGGACTCGGAGGTGGCTACAGTGTGTCGACCCCATCTAGCCTATATTCCAAGCCATAAACAGCGTCTTCTCCCTCTGGCTACTGCCATCGTACTGCAGGACAAAACTCATCGGCTATATTTAATTTCCAGTTTTGTTGATACTTCCACTCATTATTTAATATATTTATTTTATCCAAGAGATGGATTAATATTTAATATGACAAACTCAAATATGTCTTACTATAAACAATAGCTAAAATAAATATAAACCTTATTATTAGTATTTGTTTAACTGTTTCCTGGAGCTTTATCGAAACGCATAAAGACGACTGAATTATTGAGGAATAACTCGAGACCTCACTTCTGCTTTTAATGGAGAGGAGACAAGAGGCTATCATTAGTGTGGTACCGGAACATACAAGTACAGGAACCCAGGTGACCTTTAGGATTAAAACATTCTGTTATTTTCCTTATTCCGTCTGGCACTGACCGACACAGGAAGAACATCAAAATTATATAACGTTGCACATTTTCAATACCTCGTAATTTATTTTACTTTGCAAGATTAAGATCATAAGTCTCTCGTTGCATTTTTTAACACTACTGCGTGAGGAAACAAGGCTATGTCACTGAATCAACGTCATGCAGTCATGTTAGTCTCCCATATTTCTTGAATAATGTACAAATATTGTCTGCCAAAGGAAAATATTTGTTACACGAAAGATGTTGAACTGCGAGATCGAGTCACCCACAGGATTATTCCATAGGAGCTCTTATCTAGAGGAGAATCAATGATATATATATATATATATATATATATATATATATATATATATATATATATATATATATATATATATATATATATATATATATATATATATATTAGTATATTTTGGTAGCGGTCTTTCCTGTAGACATATGTTATTAAATATGACCGAAAAAGTAAGATTAATAATTCTAACACGAATTTTCTCAATATTTCTTATATTTCTTTTCACTGTTGATGGTAACTGAACAATCAATTTCCAAAATTCATTTTTATTTCTAGTCTGACGCGACACTTGAACGCGTTTCGTAATAACTTATTACATTTTCAAAGACTTTAGTTTACACACACACACAACTATAACTAAACAGAGTTTAAACAGCTTCGATTTTATACCTGCATTTGGGTGAGGTGATATGTTATAACAGTTTTGGATGAGGTGAAAACAAACTTTCAACACAAGACAGAACACGAAACAATGAGTATAATATTTTGTAAGTTAAAGGGAAGAATGGAAGTAACTGCATAGGGCCTATTGGCCCATATTTCTTGATGCTTCTATATTGGTGCGGAGTCTTGAAGTAGGTAGAATATAGTTGTGCATTAATTGGCTGTTGACTTCTTAATGTGAAGTGCCTCGCAGATATCAAGCCGCCTGCTATCGCTGTATCTATCGATGATTTCCGTGTTTTTTGTTAAGAATTCTCTGGTGATGGTCTGGTTGTGGGAAGAGATTATATGTTCCTTAATGGAGCCCTGCTGCTTATGCATCGTTAATCGCCTGGAAAGAAATGTTGTTGTCTTGCCTATATACTGAATTCTTTAAGGCTTACAGTCCCCAAGTGGGCATTTGAAGGCATAGACAACATTGGTCTCTTTTAAAGCGTTCTGCTTTGTGTCTGGAGAGTTTCTCATGAGTAGGTTGGCCGTTTTCTTGGTTTTATAGTAGATCGTCAATTGTATCTTCTGCTTTTTGTCTGTAGGGATAACGTTTCTATTAACAATATCTTTCAGGACCCTTTCCTCCGTTTTATGAGCTGTGGAAAAGAAGTTCCTGTAAAATAGTCTAATAGGGGGTACAGGTGTTGTGTTAGTTGTCTCTTCAGAGGTTGCATGGCGTTTCACCTTCCTTCTTATGATGTCTTCAACGAAACCATTGGAGAAGCCGTTGTTGACTAGGACCTGCCTTACCCTACAGAGTTCTTCATCGACTTGCTTCTATCCTGAGCTGTGGCTGAGAGCACGGTCGACATAAGCGTTAACGACACTCCTCTTGTACCTGTCTGGGCAGTCACTGTTGGCATTGAGGCACATTCCTATGTTTATTTCCTTGGTGTAGACTGCAGTGTGGAAACCTCCGCTCCTTTCCATGACTGTTACATCTAGAAAGGGCAGCTTCCCATCCTTCTCCATCTCGTAAGTGAAACGCAACACAGAATTCCGCTCATATGCCTCCTTCAGCTCCTGCAGATGTCTGACGTCAGGTACCTGTGTAAAAATGTCGTCAACATACCTGCAGTATATGGCCGGTTTCAAGTTCATGTCGACTAAGACCTTTTGTTCGATGGTACCCATGTAGAAGTTCGCAAACAGGACACCTAGGGTAGAACCCATGGCGACCCCATCTACTTGCTTATACATGTGCCCATCCGGGCTCAAGAAGGGTGCCTCTTTGGTACAAGCTTGGAGTAGTTTCCTTAGAACGTTTTCTGGTATGTCAAGAGGAGTACAAGCCGGATCACGATACACTCTGTCCGCTATCATCCCGATTGTTTCATCCACAGGTACGTTGGTAAATAGTGATTTTACGTCCAACGAGGCTCTTATCCCTGTGGCCCGTGTTCCCCGCAGTAAGTCAACAAATTCCTTTGGAGACATCAGGCTGAAGGTGCAAGGGACATAAGGAGTCATCAAGCCGTTGAGTCGCTTCGCAAGTCTGTACGTGGGTGTGGGTATCTGGCTGATGATTGGATTCTTCAGCCACGTTATTGTGACTCATCATCTGCACAAGAAGAGTTCCTAATGCCTGGAAGGTGGCCAACGTGGTCGCGATATTCAAAGAGAAAAGACACTTTGCTGTGACCCAAGCCGAATAGTCTGACTTCGATAGTAGGAAAGTTCGTTGTGATTATGATAGTGCATTTAGTGATAAAACACCTTGACACATAGGGGTCTAATAAAAAACACTCAAAGTAATTTTTACGAGTGATCTTGTCTCACAAATCTGCTCTCATTTTACACAAGTGTATTCAAGGCAGTCGACAGCAATATAAATTACGTTGCTGCCGGTGTTAAGCATAAGGCCTTGGACACTATCACCAGGAGGGACTAATTAGGAAGGTTGAAGAACAAGACATTAGAGGAAGTGTTCTTAAATGAACCAAGAGCCGGGTTGAGGAATAGAAAGCAGAGAGTTACCATCGACCGAAGTCAAATTTGAGAAATGTCCCAGTGATGTGTCTCGTGAGTCTGATTTGGGCCTTAGTTGTTCATTATATATGCAAACAACGTATATATGTTGGGCTGAACAATAACATCAGCAAGTCTACGAATGCTCGATAATCTCTCACTCACAGGATGCATAGAGGTGCAACATACACCACTGATAGGATGAGTATGAGGTGCTCTACAAACTACTGTTTATATGAAGATTATGTGGTGAACGATAAACTATCTCTCACATGATAAGAATAGAATGTACAATAAACAACTACTCACAGTACAACGTCAAAGGCTGTCTTACACCAAAACCGTCTAATAAACAGTGATGGCGAGTTAAGTCATGTAGGAGGATAATGGCAGAGGTGAGGTGGGGGAGGAAGGCGTGCTATGACACGGGAGAGTCAAGGCTGCCCCGTTCAGGTGAGAGGAACACTATATAAAGACTGGGGCCGCCTCGCCGACACATCACACTCCACCATGAAGCTCCTGGTGAGTGCCTTCTCCTTCCTGTGTTAGCGTCTTGTGTTGTGGTGGTACTGAGAAATATTATAAGAGCCCAGGTGTTCTTGACAAGTCCGGGCGGGAAAGAGGTGGTGATGATGTAGGTGAGAGGTGGAATGCCGCTCCAGGTTACTGGGCGCTGACGCAAGGTGGGCGTTGACCCAAGGTGGGCTGACCCAAGGTGGGCGCTGACCCAGGGTGGTGGGCACTGACCCAAGGTGGTGGGCGTTGACCCAAGGTGGTGGGCGCTGACCCAGGGGGTGGGCGCTGACCCAGGGGGGTGGGCGCTGACCCAGGGGGGTGGGCGCTGACCCAAGGTGGGCGACAACTATTCACACAGTCAAAATGATGAGACAAACTCAGCAAAGTAATGTTCCTATTAAGGGGCTAGGTACGAGGAAAAAAATATATTCGATGTGTACTCATACAGACTCGGGTTGTAGCCTAGCAAGAGGCACGACTGTTCAGTCTTACAGTACAATGACAATGTTTGGTCGTAAAAAACACACAAATTAACAACCGATGAGAAGTTTGATATCAAAATCCTGGCCCCCTTTAGTGCCACCGAGAATGACTGAACGGCGTCATGGCAACATTAGTAGTGACTATGAGGCTTTTGTGGCGTTTTATTTGTAATTATCAAGTTTTTCACAACACCGCCATGACATAAGTCTGTTTGAGGGGTGACAGAGAATAGGGAAAACGTAAGGCAACGTTGCCTTAATAGCTGGATCTGAATTGAAAATCTGCTAACTTGACCAGAAAAACATACCGGTCATAGCTATTTGAACATCTAGTGTGCATATATGGTCCTGCACAAGTGACGTCATAGCCTTTCCGGATTGAGGCGTCCTAGATGTGATAGTTAAGTGTTACCTACACGCTTATTCTACCCTCTTGAGGCTGACCCTTCACCTTACAGCACCTTTGTTCGTGTTCTCAGTTGCCAGCATGCCGGTAGTCGTTTTCTTTAAGAAATCAATGACTTAATACAAACAACACACACATAATACAACACTTAACATACATATAACACATTTATACTGCTCACTTAACAAATATACATATATGCAAGTTTCAGTACTTCATATACATTAGACTTTATAAACCTATATTATTACTTTGATCAAAGTGTATAAACCAGAAGGTGCAGACCTACACTTAATATTCAGTGAATATTTTCTGATAATATATATATTATACATGAAAATTGGAAACTGAGAAGATTGAGTCTTTGATGATCCTGGCAGGTATTAGGACTTAAGAATAACACACAGTCTCTCTGTCTTCTTGGCTAAGATCAGATTGGGTTAGGTTCGGCGATAAGGATTATTAAGGTTTAATGACTGTCAGGAACATTAAGACCTCACTTCTTGGCTTCTAAACCTAAATATGAATATACAGATTACTAACAGAATTCAATCAGTGTATGTTAAGATACATTGAAAAGTGCTGCACTTTGTGTACATGCTTTGCTCTCAACTTCTTAATGACTTTAATGATTAGCGTTTTCTGACCAGAACTGAAATGGCGAATGGCTGCCAGTTGAGCCCTTCGACGCCTTCCAACCAAATTAATTACAGTGTCAATATTTTAATTCTGTTTCAGATTCTTGTCTCCTTGGTTGCGGCAGCCGCCGCCGAGAAACTGCCGACTTACAGTTTACCAAGACCTTCTGGTCCAGGTTTCATCATAGGTGGATCAGGAGGTGGAGGAAGCTTCGGTGGCGGCGCAGGGATCGGTGGAGGAAGCTTCGGTGGCGGCGCAGGGATCGGTGGAGGAAGCTTCGGTGGTGGAAGCTTCGGTGGCGGCGCAGGATTCGGTGGTGGTGCAGGATTTGGAGGAGTCAGCTGTGGAGTTGGACAGATTCGTCACGTGGACGGAAGTTGCGTGACTCCTATTGTCACCAAAAACTCATACGTGTATGCTGCTCCACCAGTGGCCCCAATCGTCGGTCCACGCCCAAATGTTCCCCTACCAAGACTTGAACACAACATTATCTTCATCCGTACCCCAGAAGTTGGATTTGGTCAGGAACCCATTGTGGTGCCACCACCTCAACAGAAGAACGTCGTGTACGTCCTCAACAAGCGACCAGAACTGGACCAACAAGTCGTCCACGTCCCAGCACCAGAACAACAGACTCCAGAAGTATTCTTCGTCAACTACGGAGAGGGCGAGAACCCGACTCTACCTACAGGAGAGGACCTTCAGTCTGCCCTCAGCGCTGCTTCGCACGGTGGCGGTCAGGTTATTGGAGGCGGCATTGGCGGAGGTATTGGAGGCGGCATTGGTGGAGGCATTGGAGGTGGAATTGGAGGCGGTATTGATGGTGGCATCATTGGTGGCGGCCATGGTGGTGGTTTTGGAGACGACTTCAGCGGTGGTGTTAGTGTGTCGACCCCATCTGGTCTATATTCCACACCATAAACAAAACAAATTAAACATGTTAACAGCGTCTTTTCACTCAGGCTCCGGCCCTCGTACTGCAGGACGGAACTCATCATCTTTATTTAAATTCTAAGTTTGCTAATCATTCAACAAATTATACATTATTTATTTTATCCAAGAGATGGCTATATTTTTACTATGTCAAACTCTGATATCTCCTACTGTAAACAATGGCTAGGATAAATATAAACCTTATTTATATTCTTGTTTAAAAATTTCCTGGAGCTTTAACGAAACATAAAAAACAAGGTCTTCGACGTGACTTATTGAGGAATAACTTGAGACCTCGCTTCTGTTCTTAATTGTGAAGAGTGGAGACAAGAAGCCAGCACTAATGTGGTAACATCACACAAAGCCAGCACTAATGTAGTATCATCACACAAAGCCAGCACTAATGTAGTAACATCACACAAAGCCAGCACTAATGTAGTAACATCACACAAAGCCAGCCCAAGTGGGGTACCAGAACACAAAGCCAGCACTAATGTAGTATCATCACACAAAGCCAGCACTAATGTAGTATCATCACACAAAGCCAGCACTAATGTGGTATCATCACACAAAGCCAGCACTAATGTAGTATCATCACACAAAGCCAGCACTAATGTGGTACCAGCACACAAAGCCCGCACAAGTGGGGTACCAGCACACAAAGTCAGCACTTGTAGGGTACCAGCAATGGAAACCAGTACAAGTGTTGCGAAGCCGAGTAATCTCTACTGCAGTTATCCTTCATACTAGAAGGTGACTAAACTAGAATATTAGAATAACGTGGCTAAAGCATGTTGACCAGAAGGTGTGGTCTGGTCAACATACTTTAGCCACGTTATTGTGACTCATGGCCTGCAAATTATCCTTCATTTCGTTTGGCTATGAATGACATGAAAAGAATACAAACCATATCATTTTACACACGATCACATCACTCGATATATTTTTCCTCTTCAGATTGTGAATATATATCAGTTTCTTGTTATATTTTTTGGAACACTACTAAAGTGAAAGTCTGCGCTATATCGCGGAATAGACATCACAGTCGAATTAATGTGTTCGACAGTTTCCTGGCATTTGTGAGCTACATGGGACCCTAACCCGGCAGCACCCTGGCCTTCGCGTACGGGCCAGATTCACGAAAGCACTTACGCAAGCACTCACAAACCTGTACATCTTTTCTCAATCTTTGGCGACTTTGTTTACACTTATTAAACAGTTAATGAGCTCCGAAGCACCAGGAGGCTATTTATAACAATAACAACAGTTGATTGGGAAGTTTTCATGCTTGTAAACTGTTTAATAAATGTAACCAAAGCCGCCAGAGATTGAGGAAAGATGTACTCGTTCGTAAGTGCTTGCGTAAGTGCTTTCGTGAATATGGTCCCATGCACGCTAGCAGCCGCTGGTATCTTTTCCTTAAGGTGTCGTGTAAACATATTACTGTCACTGCGCTCCTCTCGGGTGATCGTCTACCTTGTGTTAGGAGCCTAAGATGTTTGGTACCTATGTTACCTGAAGCCTGGCCCACGTCTTTATTCAAGTGTTATCATTCATCAGTAATCAGGCCTGTCCACTGGCCGTTAAATACTCTTAACTTTTATCCTTTAATGTGGACTTTAACTGACAGTTAGGTTCATGTAGGTTGTAGTTAATTTACTTATCTTATATTTAAGTTTTATAAACTACCATATTGTTACTTTACGTGCTGTACTCTTTACTATAATTAGGGTAGTTCCCAGCGAAGCCTTATAACAGTTATTCGTTAATTACAAGTTATTATCATTTAGTTCGGTTATTTCACTTATAATAAATCTTTTTACCTACTTCCTATAATTTACTTGTCATTTTACTTTTACTTATATTATGGAAATGTTACTTTTGCTTATATTAATTATTTAAAAAAATCTTTAGCCCAGCGCAAGTATCAATCACCCTACACAAAAATGTCAAAACACCGCCCAATTGTAAAATCCAGCTTGCCAAAATCCTCATGAAAAATGGGCGGACATTTGACAAGCGGCCAGCATCCTGTCCTGGTGGAGGTCAGTAGATTGATTGCCCATTAGAGACATAAACGTTTAACGAAGCAAATACCGTTTTCGTTTAACATATATCATACGGCAGTGCATGTTGAACATGCTTAAATCTTCCGCAGATCTTTTTGAAGATCTGCGGAAACAAAATACATATAAAAGCATATGGAGATTTGTCGTCTTATTAATATAATCTAAAATTTTCACGTGAATTATCCTACTATATAATACAATGTTCAGTATTAATATAATCTTGTTAATCAATATTATAATGCTCTGTCACCTGTTAACGGATATTCTTAACATTGCATTAAGAATATCACCCAAACTTTTGGAAAATATTTTAGTCTACATTTGACAGATTAGGATATGAAACAATGACATTGCATTTTATAAGTATAATCACTTTGTCTATCGTGTTATAAGAATATTGTATTTGCTAAATATATGAAAAGATATTCTTCGCTATTCATAGTTAATGCAATATTTTTTCATTTTATGTTATTCTTTATCTGCCTTTGATACTTAGCAATCCTTTAAGAATGTCCACCAAAACTCCAGAATTAAGTAATATGCTAAATTACTAATTTACCTCAGTTTTTATTAGTGAAGACCAAGCCAACCTTCTCAACGTGAAGGCAATATACAGCAATGGCAAAAACAATTTAAAATTAAACAAATCCCCAGGTACAAAAGAGTGTTCAGCAGTCTTGAAATAGTACAAAGATAAATTTGTGACCCATTACTAATAATGTTAAATAAATAAGTAAACCAACACAGGAATAGTCCCTACTGCCTGGAGGGATGTCAACCAAGTCCCAATATTCAGAAAGGGGGACAAATACCGTGCTACAAACTACTGTCTGAATAGCCTGAAGTCGATAGTCGGAAATTTCCTTGATACAATAGCAAATTCAATGAGAAATCTTCAGGACACATGTGATGTGAAAAGGACTTTTACGTATGGTTTCTTGCGAGGGTGATCTTGTCTCACTAACATATTATCCGTCCTAAACATATTCGAAGCAATTGACAACAGTATTTCTGGCTCCCAACAGATGTACAATACTCAGCTTAAAGACTGTAGTGATCCAGTTCTTGAACCAAATGTGCTTTAAAAGACTATTGTTATATAAACATTAAACTGTACAGCTAACTTATCAAATTTGCAACTACGAGCTCAATGAATTTTTGGGTTCAGAGTGTATACTGAGCCTATTAAGAGCCTCTGTAACCTTGCCCACCACCGCCCAGAGTATGAGTATGGAAATAAATCAAATGAAAAAAATCAAGGGCAGGGGCGAGCGCGACAAAAAAGGCGTGTTATGTAGACGAGAGTCAAGGCTGCCCCGTCAGGGTGAGAGCGACACTATACCATATAAAAGCTCGGTCTGCCTCGCCGACACATCACACTCCACCATGAAGCTCCTGGTGAGTGCCTCCCCCGGCCTGTGTTATTGTGTTGTGGTGTCCAAGTGTTCCTGAATACGGACGGGAAATAGAGGTGGCGGTATGGGTAAGAAAAGTGGATGCTGCTGCAGGTTACTGGGCCCTGACCCAAAGTGGGCTGCAGACATTCACACAGGAAAAATGAAGAAGGGCAGAGATCTCAGAAACGGGAAATTCAAGATCTGCTCTGATATAATCTGCTTGTAGCCTTGCAAGATGTACGATTGTTTTAGCCTCAAAGACACTGCAACTGCCACAGTCAAGCGTACATTGGAAATGTCTGTTTTTCATGCATACATAAAGTAGCAACTGTTTAAATTGGGGATAAACTTGCCCTCTTCTAATGTCACCGAGAATGATAGAAAGGTGTAAGGAGTCATGACAACACTAGCCTAATGACTATGAGAGTTTAGTGGCATTTTAGGTTATTTATGAAAAGTTATCTACACTAACACCGCTACAATGTAAGTCTATATGTAGACTTGTCAATAACAGTGTTTGTAAAACTGAATCGCAATTGAAAACCCTGAAACGTCAAGGAAAAAAATGTTCAGATAAATTTGAACATTCAGTGGAATCTTCAGAATTAAAGGAGTGGCGTCAAATACTTTTCAGAAGGTATTCTAAATGTGATAATTAAGTGTTACCATCCCACACTATTCTGCCCTCTTGAGGCTCCCAATTCACTCATTTCTCAATTCTGACAAGATATTATATTATATTCTAATGTTAGAAACCTAGAAAATTTATGTCAAAATCAATCAGGTAGTTGACTGACCTTAATATTAACACAGCTTCTGCTCTGTCAATTTAGCTAGGTTAAACAAGGTTAGGTTTGATGATAAGATTACCAAAATCTTATAGTTAAAAACAGACATTAACAATGCATACATATATACAGACATTGTTAACTATAAGATTTTGGTATATATATATATATATATATATATATATATATATATATATATATATATATATATATATATATATATATGTATATATATATATATATAACTGAAAACTCACACCCCAGAAGTGACTCGAACCCCAGTGAGTTTTGAGTGGGGTGAGGCTCAGTGGGGTGAGGATATATACAGACATTGTTAACTATAAGATTTTGGTATATATATATACATATATATATATATATATATATATATATATATATATATATATATATATATATATATATATATACATATATATATATGTATATATATATATATATAACTGAAAACTCACACCCCAGAAGTGACTCGAACCCCAGTGAGTTTTGAGTGGGGTGAGTTTTCAGTGGGGTGAGGCTCACACCCCAGTGGGGTGTGAGTTTTCAGTTGCATATTGTCCTGGGGACCATTCATGCTTGTTCGCATATATATATATATGTATATATATATATATATATATATATATATATATATATATATATATATATATATATGTATATATATTTGATCCGTAACAGCGCAAAGAACTCAAATTTTCAATATAGGTGAAAATACATTGAAAAGTGCAGCACTCCTTGTATATATGTTCTGCTCACACTTTCTTAATGACCTTCATCGTTAGCTTTTCTAATCGAACAATCTGACCAAGCAGGTGGTTGCCTGATGAAGACTGTACTACCTTCAGACCAAATTAGTTACAGCACCAATAACTTTTAAACTGAAATCTAAATATAAATGTGAACAGTAATTGGTATAATAACTTCCTGCGTCTGAGTCTGCCAAAATCTAACTAGTAATATTTTATTTCCGTTTTAGATACTCGTTTCATTGGTTGCGGCAGCCGCCGCCGAGAAACGCCCGGCCTACAGTCTACAAAGACCTTCTGGTCCAGGTCTGATCATAGGTGGATCAGGAGGCTTCGGTGGCGGTGTAGGGGCCGGTGGAGGAGGCTTCAGTGGTGGCGTAGGGGCCGGTGTTGGCGGCTTCGGTGGCGGCGCAGGATTAAGTGGCGGCGCAGGATTCGGTGGCGGCGCAGGATTAAGTGGCGGCGCAGGATTCGGTGGCGGTGTAGGATTCGTAGGAGTCAGCTGTGGTGCTGGACAGGTTCGTCATGTGGACGGAAGTTGCGTGACTCCTATTGTCACCAGAAACTCATTTGTGTATACTGCTCCACCAGTGGCCCCAATCGTCGGTCCACGCCCAAATGTTCCCCTACCAAAGCTTGAACACAACATTATCTTCATCCGTACCCCAGAAGTTGGACTTGGTCAGGAACCCATTGTGGTGCCACCACCTCAACAGAAGAACGTCGTGTACGTCCTCAACAAGCGACCAGAATTGGACCAGAAGGTCGTCCACGTCCCAGCACCAGAACAACAGACTCCAGAAGTGTTCTTCGTCAACTACGCCGACGGCGACAACCCGACTCTACCTACAGGAGAGGACCTCCAGTCTGCCCTCAGTGTTGCTGCTCAAAGTGGTGGTCAGGTCATCGGTGCTGGTGGTGGCATTGGAGGCGGCATTGGTGGCGGCATTGGTGGCGGTATTGGAGGCGGTATTGGAGGCGGTATTGGAGGCGGTATTGGAGGCGGCATTGGTGGAGGCCTTGGAGGTGGTATTGGAGGCGGCATTGGAAGCGCCATTGGTGGTGGCCATGGAGGTGCCATTGATGGTGGCCATGGGGGCACCATTGGTGGTGATTTTGGAGACGACTTCAGTAGTGGTGAGAGCGCAGAAGGTGGATTCAGTGTGTCGACCCCGTCTGGTCTATATTCCACACCGTAAACATGTTAACAACGCCTTCGCCATCAAGCTCTTGGTCTCGTACTGCAGGACGGAACAACTCATTGTTTATATCTAATTTATAATGTTACTAATCCTTCCACTTGTGTAATATTTATTTTATCCAAGTCATGATTTTATTTAACATGACAATCTCGGATATCACCTGTAAACGATGACCAAGATAAATATTAACCTTATTTATATGATTTGTTTAAATTTTCCTGGTGGTTTAACGAAAAGAATAAAGACGAGCACTTTAGTGTGAGCTATTGAGGAATGACTCAAGCCATAACTTATGCTTTTAATGGAGAGGAGACAAGAGGCTAGCATTAGTGTGGTACTAGTATAGGAAGCTAGCATATGAGGTCACCACTATTGTAGTACCAGCATTTTGTTTAACTAAATCATGAAGCCAGCACAAATGTACTAAAAAGCTATTGTGGTACCAGCACTAGTGTGGTACTAATCTAAAAATTTTGTGTTATTCACGTACCGCCAAATGAATTCACTTGTCTAGTACCAGGTAACCAAGGTATGAACAAGGTATCAGCTCACGAAGCTGGGTAATATTCAGGATCACAACTTGCTGCAGTTATCCTTCGTATTGTTTGGTTTAAATTATATAAAAAGAACACCGAGACTTCTGTCATTTACACAATCATAATACTCAATAAATTTTACCTGTTAAGATGGTGACTGTATAACACTATATTCTTGCATTACTAAACTGCAAGTCTGCGCTATATGGCTGAATCAATATCAAAGTCATATTACCGGATCCGACTTTCTTTAATAGTAAACGAATACTATTTGCCAAATAGGAATATTTGTCACACATAAGGTGTTGAATTACAAGATGGAGCCACTCAGAGGCAAAACCAGAGCTGCTGTTTTAAACGGATAAACAATACTAAAAATTAATGAAGTGGCATAGAACCACAGAGAACAGACGAATACATACCTAAGACTGTCACAGTAGAAGCACTTGTCTTTAATTCGGGTTTGTGTTGCACATAACAAGTTGCGAGACCTCGTAAATGTGTTGTTGCAAAACCTCGTCAATGTGCTGGTGCATATGCCTATTTGCGAGTCCTCGCAAGTGTGCTGCTTCGTTACTTACATCTATTTTGAGTTTTTTCTACTCATGTTCATCTATAAAGTTTGTGTATTATAGTATTAACCACCCTCGTGTTATGTACTGGTATTGTCTCCGGTCCTCCGCTCACACGTTTTACGAAAGACTAATTCAGATAACCCACAATGGTTACAGGAATAATATAAATCAAGAAGAGACGGGGGACTACTGGGCAAACTCCTTAACTTTTCCGACACCATTAAACTATTTATTTCATTATCTAAAATACACGCAAATTACATGCAAGACATAAAACGTTTATCACCACAAAATATACAGATCAAACCTGATAACCCACTAGTCTCTTCCACAGTCTTTCTGACAACACATTAGTCTCTTCCTCCATTCAGGAGTTGTCAAACAAGGAACGAACTGCCACTCAATCTTCAAAATACATCAACACTTTCGCACTTTTGTTTTTCAAACACAGACTGAAACGGAACTACATCACAATACAATTAGAATGTATAAAAATGTGGAAACCAAAATACATCTAAATGTATGATCATTTTTTTTCGTATTAATATTATTTATATATAAATTTCTCACATGAATTATCCAACTTTCACTGTTTAGTATTAATATAATCTTGTTATTCAATATTATAATAGGCTATTACTCTGGCACCTGTTACCGGGAATTCTTAACATTGTATTAAGTATTGTATCACGATATTTCTCACACAAACTCTTGTTGTATTAGTTTATATTTAACAGCTTAGATGTGATACACATTGCATTTTATAGGTATCATCATTTTGTCGTGTTAGATCATTATTGTTATTGCTAAATATATGAAGATATTCCTCATTATTCATAGCTTAAGCAATATTTTATTATTTCATATTATTCTTTATCTGTCATTGATACTTAGGTGCACGATAAACCTTAAGAATGTCCACCACAACTCAAGACAGAATTTAACAATATGCTAAATTATTACTTTTCCTCGGCGTTAATTAGTGAAGACCAAGACAACCTTCTCAAAGTGAAGGCAATATACAGGAATGATGAAACAAATTAACTATGCCGCATTCAGATTAAGAACGTTTACATACTTATATAAAATATAGTTAAAATTGAACAAATCACCAGGACCAAAAGAGTGTTCAGCAGCCTTGGAAGAGTACAGAGACCCACTAATAAGAATGTTAAATAAATAAACCAACACAGGAAGAGTCCCTAATGTCTGGAGGGATGTCAATCAAGTCCCAATATTAAAAGGGGAACAGATACCTTGCTATGAACTACTGTCTGAATAACCTGACCTCGATAGTGGGAAATTTCCTGGATATAATAACAAATTCAATGGGAAACTTCAGGAAAAATATGATGAAATATGATGAAAAAAGAAATAAGGCTTCAGACACTTTATCGTCACCAGAAAGACTAACTATGAAGGTTCAGGCTACATCATTGAAGGGAATGTTTTCAACTGATTCAGATCCTCGAGAGTTACCATCAGCGGGGTGAAGTTACATTGGGATAATGTTACTTGTGGTGTGTCCCATCGGTCTATTTTGGGGCCTTAGTAGTATATAATATATTCAATCATATATATTGGAGTGAACAGCAAAACCAACAAGTTTGCGGATGCCCAGTAAGCTATCACCCACAGGATGAGTACATGGTACACAATATACCACTCCCTGGAGGAGTGTAAGGTGCACGATAAACTACCACATAAAGGTTGTTGAGGAACTGCACAAACTATCGCTCACAGCATGAGTAAGGGGCACATGATACACTACCGCTCATAATATGATTAGGGAGAGCATGGCAAACTATCACTCACCGGATGAGTATAATATGCTCAATAAACTGCAGCTCACAGTACAACGTCGGAAGCGTCCCACTACTCAGACTAATCGACCTAAAAAAAGGAGCGATGACGAGTTATGTCGTGTAGGAGGACAATAGTAGAGGTGAGCTAAGCATTGTTAATAAAGAGGGAGTTGACTGCCATCTTGGATTCCATTTGAGCAGTCCGAGGACAGTAGGATACCGGGAACTCCAATCAAATTTAATAAGAGCTGGAACAGGGTGACATTCACACTAGTTATACCATTTATCATCATACTATTATGCAGGAAGAGTCACAAAGATACGGGTAATCCAATATGGTCAGGAGACTTCTAGACGTTACTACTGGTAGGCTTAGGTTGGCAAAAAGTTCCTCTGGGAGTTTGCACCAGATCTACTTCAGCAGGTACTAATTCACCAGATCTACTTCAGTGCTGAAGTACATCTGACTAACTGTAAACTGTGAGACCTATTCACATGTCTCACATCACTAAGTAATTGTGAACAAAATTCACAATTCAGAGATAATTCTATTAAAATGCTAAACTTTTTTATTTCATTTAATATATTCAAAGTTTGATTAATATATATTGCATGCATGTGCATGATTGTTTATTTCCAAAGGTCGCCCACCGGATGGGTGTGTTATGCATGATTAGTAACTGTATGTAACTGGCTCACAACAGATGTACATTAGTCAGCTTAGAGACTGTTGTGGTCCAATTCTTGAACCAAATGTGCTTTAAAAGATTATTGTTATATAAACATTTAACTGTACAGCTAACTTATCAAATTTGCAACTATCTAGCTTAATGAATTTTTGGGTTCAGCTCCTGAGCCTATTATGAGCCTCTGTAACCTTGCCCACTATCGCCCAGACTATGAGTAGGGGAGTAAATCAAATGAAAGAATCAAAGGGCAGAGGCGAGCGCGACAAAAAAGTCGTGCTATGTAGACGAGAGTCAAGGCTGCCCCGTCAGGGTGAGAGCGACACTATACCATATAAAAGCTCGGTCTGCCTCGCCGACACATCACACTCCACCATGAAGCTCCTGGTGAGTGCCTCCCCTGGCCTGTGTTATCGTATTGTGTTGTGGTGGTGTCCAAGTGTTCCTGAATACGGACGGGAAAAAGAGGTGGCGGTATGGGTAAGAGAAGTGGATGCTGCTGCAGGTTACTGGGCCCTGACCCAAAGTGGGCTGCAGACATTCACACAGGAAAAATGAAGAAGGACAGAGTACTCAGAAACAGGAAATTCAAGATCTGCTCTGATATAATCTGCTTGTAGCCTTGCAAGATGTACGATTGTTTTAGCCTCAAAGACACTGACTTTAACTGCCACAGTCAAGCGTACATTGGAAATGTCTGTTTTTCATGCATACATAAAGTAGCAACTGTTTAAATTGGGGATAAACTTGCCCTCTTCTAATGTCACCGAGAATGATAGAAAGGTGTAAGGAGTCATGACAACACTAGTCTAGCGACTATGTGAGTTTTGTGGCGCTTTAGGTTATTTATGAAAAGTTATTTACACTAACACCGCTACAATGTAAGTCTATATGTAGACTTGTCAATAACAGTGTTTGTAAAACTGAACCGCAATTGAAAACCCTGAAACGTCAAGGAAAAAAAATGCTCAGATAAATTTGAACATTCAGTGGAATCTTCAGAATTAAAGGAGTGGCGTTAAATGCTTTTCAGAAGGTGTTCTAAATGTGATAATTAAATATTACCATCCCACACTATTTTGCCCTCTTGAAGCTCCCACTTCACTTACTTCTCAATTCTGACATGATATTATATTATATTTGAATGTTAGAAACCTAGAAATTTTTTGTCAAAATCATCCAGGTAGTTGACCTGGATGAGTTATAAATATTATATATATATATATATATATATATATATATATATATATATATATATATTTATATATATATAATATATATATATTTATATATATATTATATATATATATATATATATATATATATATATATATATATATATATATATATATATATATAAATATATATATATATATATATATATATATATATATATATATATATATATATATATATATATATATATATATACATAATATATATATATATTATATATATATATATTTATATATATATATATATATATATATATATATATATATATATATATATATATATATATATATATATATATATATAACTGAAATCTCACACCCCAGAAGTGACTCGAACCCATACTCCCAGGAGCACTCTGCT